TTTCCATGTAAAAAGTACATTTAGATGTTAACAAGCAAGAGAACTTGGTCAGCTTTCTAATTGGAAATATATTGAAGGCAAAGCTATTTAAACCATAGTGAAACTGTGGACTATTTACCTCCTCAATATTGTCTGTAACAAACGTGGTAAAAGTTATTCTTTCAGTGAGCACAACACAGTTGACTAAACGTTCTGGGAGAACAGTTCCCAAATATTAAAATTTTGATAATAAAATATATTTCAATGTTGATGAACTTCATACCTGTTAATTCATAATCTGATTGTCTTTGTAGCCCTCACTGTGAATAAAAAAAACAGTAGAATTACAAAATAATTAATATAACACTAAAACACAAACACCTCTTTTCATAAATAACACACTTTTTCTGCAATAATTTGTTTTATGTTTCCTGTAATTTTTTGTTAGGAAAGGACATGCCCTGAAAGACTCGACCTCCACATTTTCTTCTTCTCTGAGTGTCAAGAAGACCATCCATGCCCCTTCACTACCAACGCGTTTCGCTCCGGCTCCGGAGCCTGGGCTGAGAAGTAACCGGTCTTTCCTGTTCCACACCCGCACCGCGCCACCTCTTTATCGGAATCCCGTTCACTTCCGTTCCAAAAATTGTCGGTCCTAAAGGCAAGACTTCGGAGCTAAAAGAGGCGGCATCGCTACGTCGAGCCGTGCAGGAAACAAAACCCACCTCCCCTGAACATGGGTCGACTTGAAGAGTCTCGTCATGCCTGCCCCTACAAGCAGTAGTGGCTGAGCAAAGTGACTTAGAAGGGCAACCCACACACTTAATAAAAAAAACCACACTTTATAAAGTCAGGCAACCACTAACCAGGCCCTTCGTGGAATTCTGTATTTTGCCACCATTACTTTGACCATCCGTTACGCTGTTATTGATCATTGTGAGAGAGGCCCAGACGTTTTGTTTGGATTAATAGCAGCCATCGGATGGAATCAATACCATGGGCCTGCACAGGTGTCATGTCAAAAAACTGAGGGTTAGGCTAGGTTTCTTTTACAGAAACAAGTCCTGTTTCTCACTTGAGGCCAGGAAAAGGCTAGTCACTGTGACCTTTTTACCTGTGCTGGACTATGGTGATCTGTTTTATATGAATGCACCGGCCAATTACCTGATCAAGTTAGATGCCGCCTATCACAGTGCACTGAGATTTGTGACAAACTGTAAAGCATTAACCCATCATTGTACCCTGTATGCAAGGGCAGGTTTGTTTTCACTAACTGTACGGCGGCTCAATCACTGGTATCTTTTTATTTACAAAGCAATGTTAGGGAAACTTCCATCCTACATCTGCTCCCTGATCTCACGGCGTATTGTAAATGGCTACTGCCTGAGATCGAATGCTGTGGTTGTATTAAATGTGCCAACTGCTAGGACTGTCTTAGGGAATACAGCTTTTAGATGCGCAGCTCCACTAATTTGGAACAGTCTGCAAAAGGAATGGAAGTTGAGCAGTTTGGTTCCATTACATGTTTTTAAAGCAAGGTTAGATGTTATCCAATCGGAAACTGTTGGTATCTGTAAATGCTACTAGCTATACAAACTGTAGTCAATGTAAATATGCCATATGATGTCCTCTTTGCTTTTCTGTCATGTTTGTATTCATGTTGGAACCTACTTGCAGCAGGTCACCATTGAAAAAGAGGTCAATGATCTCAATGGGTTTTCACCTGAATAAATAAAGGTTTTGAAATCTGGACTCTCTTTGCATCCAGAAGTTGTAAATGAAGAGGAGTCTGAGAAGTGAGCTCAGCAGACTTCTGGAGCCCGCTGATAATCTCAAGGAGAGCAGATTAGGATTTAATTAGCCAACGGGAGGATAACGCACTGTTTGCAGTTGCATCGTGGGTAATGTATTTGTTTGACAAGGAAACACAATCCATGGAATATCAAACAACATTAATGACACCACCATCCATGACAGCACAAACCCACATATAACATGAACATCATAAAAACATAAGGAACATCAGGTGCAAGTTTAATGAGGTGCGAAATTCGGCCAACTTGTTGTTGGGACACAGTGATGCCTCCTTCAGTCAGACTATACCTGCATCCTGATGGGGGTGCAGTGGATCTGCTGAGATCTTCTGAGCTAAACTCATTTAGTTGTGGCAGCATTTGTCCATCCTTTTGTAATACTTAAATCTTATTCCGTGCATTTAGTTATTTTTGAAACATTAGGTTATGTTTTTTGATGACGATGATTTGAAGCACATTTTAATGGGGCTGGACATGGTCCTAAGCACAGAAACAAAAATATTTGTTGTCCTGTAAACACAACAAATCTGAGTTTTTAAAGCTAAATCTCAATGTGCAGAGTGCAGAGAAGCATTATCTCTGTGATGAGTGAGATAGGACTAAGGCCCAGAAACATCCATCCATCCATCCATCCATCTTCTCCCGCTTATCCGTGGTCGGGTCGCGGAGGTAGCAGTTCAAGCAGAGAGCCCGAAACTTTCTTTTCCCTGGCCACATCAACCAGCTCTGACTGGGGGATCCCAAGGCGCTCCCAGGCCAGCGAAGAGATATAATCCCTCCACCTGGTCCTAGGTCTACCCCTTGGTCTCTTCCCAGCTGGACGTGCCTGGAAAACCTCCCTAGGGAGGCGCCCAGGTGGCATCCTAACTAGGTGCCCGCTTGTACCCGCGATCTCGTTCTTTCGGTCATGACCCATCCTTCATGACCATAGGTGAGGGTAGGAACGAAAATGGCCCGGTAGACAGAGAGCTTTGCCTTCTGAAACAGAAACAACCAGAGATAACTTCAATGACCCATGACGCTCTAGCTGAGTCTGAGTATAGCTGAATTACTTCATATGTTCTCTGTGAGACCTGACTTTAACAGCTCTATTAAACAAGGTGTGAGTCAACCAACCCCCACCCGGTCCACACAGAGGCTTCTGTCAGAACACTGTGGGGTTACGGAAGGCCCGGGTCACCTGAAGAGTTGTGGGCCCCTATTGAGTCCTGATAACCATTTTCTATATCCTTACATTTTACACTTTATCCAGTCCAACATGTGTATGTGGTTAGTGAGGTGATTGTGATTGTGTTTGTGTGTCTTGTAGATCCTTGCTAACCTGGTGATGGAGGGCCTCCTCCCTGAGTTGAGGGAGCTCATCTCCCCCCGCCTCAAAGGCAAGCTACACGAGAGGCAGAGAAACTGGATGCTGGTGAGAGACTACTACATACACATTGTGTGGAGAAAACATGCGTCTAGTTGTACGCAGTTGTATACATCGCTGACATTTTGAGCAAATGGATCATAGGAAACATCATGGGTCTTACCCACCAGTGGTGCGAATCAGCCAGTCTATGCCTGTATGATAATGTCCAGCTCATATCAGAAAAAACAAGTAGTGCAGAACAGCATGTGTGATTGTTACGTTCCCTCCTGGACTAGTGGTACCAAAGGGAAGTAACAAAATATTAAATAACCGGGGGAGAGAAAAAAAGAGAGGAAAACTGATTGCTGAAGCCACAAGGTGATGTTTAATAAGCAAAAAGTAAAGAGGGCTCACTAGCCAATAAGGACCAGGATGTTCTGTTCCCAACATGTGGTTCCTGTATGTGTGTAGATCAGTGATGCAGTGTACAGCCTGGTGCAGGGGCAGTGCCAGGCCCAGTATCAGGTGGTGGTGCAGAAGTGTGAAGCAGCCTGCTCCTCTCTGGAGGCGTCCATACGGTGCGACATGGACCAGATAATCTCCTCCAAGGAGCACGTCAGCAACAAGATCAGAGGTCAGCCTTCTCTTCATGAAATCCTTTTCAGACTTCTCTTTTTTAATCCCTGTTTTTATGCATTCCAAGGCCTGTTTGTGATGCTCTGACTGATAAATGAAATGAATGTACCCCCCTAGAGCAGTGACCATCAACTTATTTATTTTTTTACAACGTCTCGTGAGCAGTGTTGGGCAAGTTACTTTTAAAAAGTAACTATTAATAGTTATAGTTACTGCTCTCAAAAAAGTAACTAGTTACTTTATTAGTTACTAAATTATAAAAGTAACTAGTAATAAGTTACTTTACTTTAAAAATAATAACAATAACAATAAAAGTTTTTGTGTTGTTTTTTGCTGACTAGTTCTCTGAAGGCAACAGACTTGACCGTTGCGATGGGCAGCATGTCCTCAACAACATACCTGGCAATCAATCTATTTGGTTGACTCTGGGTGACATGTGACGATTTGAAAGAATAGTTTTTTGGCTGTTTAGATGGTGTTGCTCCATCTGGGTCACTGCTGTAGGTTGAGACGGTGGGGTCTTTGGTGATTAGTTTTATAGCCCTATGTACATTAGTTAGGTGATTCAGGAGATTGGCATTGCTGTTATTCGATGTGGACAATGCTTTCTGTCCTGCACACAGTTTACATTTGACCGTAATAATTTGTCCACTTTTTGCGTCCTTTATCCCCACAAATTGAAAATAGTGGTTATATTTCCAAGTTGCAAATGCGCTGCTGCTCTCGCTTATACTTGCATCTGCCATTGTGTGTGTGTGTGTTTTTGTGTGCTGGTGGTGAGCGTTGCCGTGTGTGTGTTTGTTAGCATTAGCAAGTGTTCGTGTGTGTGCACCACCAGCACACAAAAACACACACACACACAATGGCAGATGCAAGTATNAAGGTGGCTAATGTTGGGCTATAAAGGAACTACAGCACGGTCACATGACTTCACGTCACCACCGCTAAGCTAAAGGCGGCTAATGTTGGGCTATAAAGGAGCTACAGCACGGTCTCATGACTTCACATCACCACTGTTAAGCTAAAGGTGGCTCATGTTGGGCTATAAAGGAACTACAGCACGGTCTCATGACTTCACGTATCCACTCATCTCTACCTCTTCAGTTCACTCCCAGTCTTATCTCTTATCGAGCTCTATCTCGGGGGCATTATTCAAATACTCAAATACATAAAAGTCTGCTCCCGATTTATTTCATCTGATGAGCAGCGCTTCACAGCCGGCTCTATGGAAAGCATATTGAATGAGTTTGAAACCTCTCGCAGAATATCAACTGCATCTGCAGCAACTCCTCAAATCAGGTTTTAGGCCACAGAGATCCTCAGGTGAATCTTCTTCTCAAATTCAATGGCTCGCATTTTCTACGGTCAGCTGTTTTATTGAAGATGGGAGAGGAATATCTTTCCTCTATTTTGTAAGACGTGGCTATTATCAGTTTGCATCACAGCTTCTGATTCACTATGTAATGTATGTTTATTTGAAAATCATAAATTACACGAGGTAGTACTGCTTTATCGGAAAACAGTTGTAACTTTTTAATACACCACTGCATATATTTACATTTTTACATATTTATTTTTTGTTACATATTTGACAATGTGCACATTTTACTTGTGTTTTTATAAATATTTTAATTCCATTTTAGGATATTTTATAGCACAATTGTTTACTTCTAATGTCCATATACATTTTATTTAAGTTAATTCTAAAATGGAGCTCCTGTCACAAAATCCAATTTCATAAATCCACAATAATAATAAAGTTATTCTGATTCTGAAATACATCTACAAAACATATATAGATTAAATTAAAAATTAATGCCACACATTTCCAGGTGAGATTAAAATATTTATCCAATGTAAAAGGAGGAAATTAAGTTAATTTGTTCCTATTTTAAGAGACAATTGTATTTAATTCTGCTTCGATTAGTTAAAGTGATATTAAGTTTCCCTAAATACCCTTAAGTTGCAATACAGTAAAGAAAATTAATTCATTGTTAGCTGGAAAAGTGTCTTGATTCGTTTTTCGCTCACATTACATATTTACATTTCTATGGCCTACAACTTGTATTTCATATTAAGGCCAAAGAACACACATATTTGAACAATGCATATCTGTTCTGTGTACTAATGTGTGAAGGAGCAGCTCCTCGCCTCCATCAACGCCTGACAGTGAGGTCATTCATCCTCTCCCACCTGAGGAAGAGCACAGGTGTTGTGATGACACCATGTTGGTGTAATGCAGCCTCCACTCAGTTTCACACGGGACAGAGTGCATTGTGGGAGAAAGAGCAGCATTGTGCAGGCCAGCCACCTGATGCCAGCTTAGGGCAACTCGGGTAAGACATTAACAAAAGATGGTGATTGAAGAGGTGACACAGGTGGAGAGAGGTGGAGGAGGAAGAGGTGACAGGTGGATTCTGGAAGAGGAAGAGGAAGAGGATGAGGATGATGAGGACATATTACCACCAGAAAAGATTTTACTTTCTTTAAAACTTTTTATTTATTCCACAAATATATAACATACATGGAGATGTACATAAAAATCGCACCCGCCTCAGTTACAGTCCACTCAAATCTACACGTTATTGCTCACATACATACATTACCCCTTTCTTTCAAAGTCTTGGCAAATTATACATAAATACAGACGTTCATTTAAATTCTCTGACCTTTCCCCGGGTAGTTGGTGCAGACAGGTATGCTTACAAATCCTACCCTACCCAACCAAAAATGATATGTAGCCTAAAAAAGAAAAAATGTAAATAAACATAAACAAGGAGATGTTTAGAGCTCAGATATCACTTATGTTACTGGTTTCCATCTTCTCTGTAGTGTTTCTAGTTTCAGTCTTTTTTTCCATAATAAACACCTTTTTTACTCTTGTCTCTCCATTGCGTTATGTTAGGGGGTCATTTTCCTTGCTATCAGGAGTAGCACCATGGATGTTTAATAAGAACTGGATACAGCGTGGGAGGCGGGGTCTCGTTCTTTCCTATGAGAGCTGCTCATTGGCGCGTGAAGTCAAAATGGCCCAACTTTTGAGAGAGCGAAACGTCACAGATTACCCAGCATGCCTGGCTGTCAGAGCAGAAGAACCCGTTTGTGCGCTCACAGAGCATGCGCCACTTAAGCCCCGCCCCCCAAGCACACACTCTCGGCTCACTAGAAAGAATGGAGAGAGAGAATAAATCTAGATTCGGCTTTTAGTGCATTTTACAACTTTAAGGACTTAATGATTCTAGGGCTATACAATAGTTCATACTGGGTAATTTATTTAGTTTCAAAAGAATTATCCAGCGATTTACAGACGTCTCTTTCTCAATGTTAGTCAAGGGGAAAAAGTATTTCTGGGCCGGTCGACGTCACAGACTGATAAGGAAATTGTAGTACCGCCGTTTGGACACAACGTATATTTTCCTCAGAGTCCGGCGCACTTCCTGGGGGCTTGGTCTTGAGGTGGAAAATGCTCGTTGCCAAAAGTGCAATAAGAATTTAGCATGTAAGGGCCGTAACACGAGCTATTTGTCTAAACATTTAGCAAAAGTGCACCACATTCTGACGGAGGAATGCACCGGGTTCGACTGTCTTCAGAGTTCGTACGGGTGCTTGAAATCCTTGAAAATGCTTGAATTTTTACGAGGTGTTTTCATGACTTGAAAAGTGCTTGAATTTTGGGAATGGTGCTTGGATTTGAGATAAAGTGCTTGAAATTGTAAACGCTTTACTTTTACAATAAATTGCTGTCTGACTGAATAGTTCGCTTTTTAGATTAAAAGAAAATAAAGAAGTCGGAGCGAGCTTAGTTGCTTCGCTTCTACATAAAACAGCTCCGCTCCGGCCTTCCCGCGCTATGTGCGACCTGGGCATTCTAATGAGAGTATGCCAGGAGGTTGCTGTTTTAACGAGCGTTGGCTATCCGAAAAGAAATACAAGCTGTGGCTAAAACGAGGATCAACCCAACGATTCGCCTTCTGCACAGTTTGCCACAAAGAATTTCAATTATTCGCGATGGGAGAGTCTGCGCTGACGATATGAAAGGTAAGCCGTAGTAGAGCATTTTGGATTAGGCTAACGTTGCATGTTACGTTT